TTTTTATTTTTCGTCGAAAATCCCCCTTTAGGGGGAAAGGCCCGACTTAAACCCAGTCCCGGGATCCACCCTGACCCGCAGTGGAGGCTCACTGGAGAGGACGCGCGAGAGGACACAAAAGACCCTTCCGAGGGCCACACTGCCGCGGGAATGTCGAACGCAGGACGCAGTGGTACCCTTGATCTGGAGGGGTCGTCCTGCGAATCGAACTCGACCGGAGCCGACCCAGCCGTGGCGACGAGGAGCCTTCCCTTAGTTGGCCCTGGAAACGAAAGGGCCGTTTTTTACCGGTTCCGTCTTGCCGTTTGTGTTGCCGATTCCGACGCCGTTTTGTTACCGGTTCCGTCGCCGTTCTTTTACGGGTTCCGGCTCCGGTTCCAAGCCTGAAGCCAGTCTTTGCCGCTTCCGGTCGCCTTGTTTTGCCGTTTCCATGTTCAAGGGGCACTCTTTCGGAGACGGTGAAAAAACGGCCCTGCCGTTTCCGGGGCCCACCAGGCCTGGGCAACCCCCAGGGGCCGAGAGTGCGACGCCCAGTCCAGAGCACAACACTCACCTGCACACGCGCCGAGAGCACAACACTCACCTGCACACGCGCCTGCCCCCTGCAGAGCCCAGAGGCCCGTCCTGGGCGGGCACCCTCTGACGGATGTCCTTATAGAGAAGTTTCCGGGGCCCACGAAGAGCCTGCATGAAGCCCAAACGCGGACGGACGCCTCTGTCTTGCCCTCCACCGAGCGAGGGGCCCGGCCGCGCATCTCCGAAGCGTCCTCCTGAATCGCGCTCGGCGCACCCAGGCAGCATCCCGCCGAGCGCCGCAGAGAAGGAGGAGGAGGAGGAAGAGAAGGAGGACAGGCACGAGGACGAGGAGAGCGAGGCGGAGGGGGGGAGGAGGACTTTCAGTCTGCATGACGAAGCCAAACCCCGCAAACTCTATAATGGGTTCCAAAAATTCCTGGTTAAAAGTTGCAACGAGGACCCGTAGAGATGAGATCAGGGGGGGAGGAGGGGGGGAGGAGGGACGAGGAAGAGGACGAGGAGGAGGAGAAGGAGCGAGGAGGGCGACAGGGAGGAGGAAGCGGAGTAGGAGGAGGATGAGGGAGGAGAAGATGAGGAGGAGGAGGAGGAGGAGGAGGAGGAGGAGGAAGAGAAGGACCGCCCCCCCCCCCCCCCGCAGCACGGGAGCTCGCCGCTGCTGGTTCTGGGCTGCAGGGAGCAGGCGGTCTGCAGCAGCCTCATCGCCTCTCGCGATCCGCGGGGCAGGAAGGGCGGGCGGGCAGTCGCGGTTTGGGGAGGATCGAGGACGAGGACGAGGCTGGGTAAGCCTTCGTGGGAGCTGTGGACATCCGCGGCCGTATAACAAACGCGAGTTTGACCGGATGCCGCCCGGATTTCGGGAGATTGCAACCACCCCTCTTTACCACTTCGTCCAGATGTCGCCCTCAGGTCGTCCAAATGTCGTGAAACTTCCGCCCAGATGCCGATCAAGTCCGACGACATCCGAAGGACACTCCTAAAGCCGCAATGCTTCCACAAAGGCCCAATCAAGCGAGGAGGCAAGGAGCGAACGCACACGCCGACGACGACGATGACGACGACGACCACGACCACGACCACGACGACGACGACGACGACCACGACGACGACCACGATGACCACGACGACGAAAACGCACGCCCACGGCGACGACCCAGGACCCCCGACGTCATGTTTTTGTCATAACGTGGACCGTGGAGGCGTTCCCTGGAGACTAGCGTTTCACGCTGAGTCGTGTTCTGACGGCCACGAAGCCCGGCAAGGGCCCCCCGAAGCCAAAAATAACCGAAATCCTTCCGTCGCCATTCTTGCACGACGCGGAAGAAGCTGGGACGCCGGCGCCGTCGGCGACGGCGACGACGCCGACGGCGCCGACAACGCCGACGCCAACGCACCGGCGCCGACGCCAACGACGGCGGCTGCGCCGACGCCGACGACGGCGGCAACGACGCCGACGGCGGCGGCGGCGACGCCGACGCCAACGATATGCCCCGCCTGCCTCCGCCCGTTCGCGGGCCGCGGTGCCTCCGCCGCCGATCCCCCGCCCCCCCCCCCCGACAGGCGCGCCTTCCCGCCCAGGCGTGGGCACCTCGGGGGCCGAGGAATTACCGAGATCGGGGCGCAGAGCCCGAGTTTTGGGGGGGGGCTCGGGGTGGGCCCTGACGGGGCCGCCGGGAAAAAACGCGACGAGGCCCCGTCTGGAATGTGGCGCGGGCTGCCGCTGCACACGCCCCAGGGCAACTGGGCCGTCAGTTCTCGGGGCGGGCCCGTCCGCGAGCGTCGGCGAAGCGAGACATGGATGCCTCATGAAGGCGTGTACGGAGTGGAACACCTGGGACAGCAGTTCATGGCATGAGCTGCCCTCGCGTCGCCAAAATGCGTGGCAGAGTGCTGCCAACACCCCGGGCGCCTGCCAAACATACCCACCGGCGCTGCCCTCCCGAGCCGCGCACGCCCCCCTTCCGTCTTGCCGCGGCCAGCTGGGTTGCGCCGCTGCTGCACGGCCCCACGTGCGACTGCATGCCTCGCCCCCGGGCCTCGGCAACAGCAACCTCCGCGTCGGCAGCAGGGACCCGCGCCCCAGGCACGCGCCACACGTCGGCCCCACGCGCGAGCAGCGCCAGCTCGCGCTCCAGCGGGCGACGTGCGCCACGAGCACTGCGGCCGCCATCGGCGGCGGCGGTGACTGCTGCTGCACCGCGGGCGCAGGCTGCGACGCCTCGCCCGCGCGGACGCCTCGCCACGGCCACCGGCGCCATCGGACCGTCGCACTGCTCCAGGGGGAGGGCGAGGAGAGGGGGGATGAGCACCCCCCCCCCTCCTCTCTCGCCGGTGAGGCTCGCACGTCTCGGCGCGGACATCCGCTCCAGCGCCGATGGGGCCCACGCGTGGGCTCCGCGGCACTCCCGGCGCGAGTTGCCGACGCAACCGTGGCCACAGGCGCGACAGGCGCCTCCGCGGGGCCAGCATCGCCTGGGAAGATGGGGCCCCAGGCCCCGGGCCGTCTTCCCACTCCTTGCGGAACCGGCGGCGCCTGGGAAAATGAGACCCCAGGTCATCCTCCCAGACCCGGCGGGTCCGGCAGCGCCTGGGAAAGCAGCCCCAAGCCGCATATAGCTCCATAAGAGCCAGCGCACGCCAGCTCAACAGTCAGCCCAGCAGCCCCCACAGCAGCAAAAGCAGCAGCAGCAGCAGCAGCAGCAGCAGCAGCAGCAGCAGCAGGAGCAGAACCCTCGGCCACCGCGCGCGGGCGGACGGGGTGCACCAGCAGCGCTGCCAGCCCATCGGCGCCAGCTAGCAGTGGGCGGCCTCCGCGGCGCCGAGCCGCCGCCGCTGCGAACGGGCACCACCTGCAGGCACCACCCGCTGCGGCAGCAAGGCGCAGCGGCAGGGTCGTTCGCCCAGGCAGAAGCGGCACCTGGCGGGCGAAGAGCGGCTCCGACGCTTCTGGGGTGCGTTCAGACCCTCGATCGCCGCTTCCGTCGCGCCCCACGCCCTTGGAGAACATCTGGAGTGGAAGCGCCCCGCAGCGCCCTCTGGAACGCCAGCCCCAGGGCCAAGGGTGCCGGCGCGCGCGGGGACCGCGCGGCGTCCGCGGGCCCGCGCCTCCTCCCATCCCGCTGCGCCGGCAGGCGCGCCCGCAGCGCCCGCCGCACCGCGGGGCAGCCCGGAGTCGTCGGCTGGGCCTGGCGCCCCCGCCGCACCAGCAGCAAACCCATCACGCCCTGCGTCAAGCAGCGTCCCACAAAGCTGCTCCGGCCACCGGCCTGCCCCTTACGGATATTCAGACATGGTTTCAAAGAATCATGGAACATCGTCCCCAGACTCTTTGTTGACTGTTCCTGAATCCTCTTCCAGAAGAGGAACATGCCCGAATTCGGGGCAGTCTTTCGTCCCCGATCAATGTCTGATGGCCCCGGGGAGCCAAGGAACCGGCCCCAGGGTCGGGAATTGATAGGGAGTGCCCTGGGCCCAAGGTGCCCCAAGCTTTTCGCTCCAGTCTGGAGCCCTTGGTGTCCTCTGGGCCTCGTGAGGGGTGCCCTGGAATCCTGGGGCACCTTGTGCCAGGGGCACTTCGAATAGCAACCCCCGCGACAGGGGCCGAAACCGAGGGAGATCAGCCGGACTCGAGAGACACCCTGCCAGAGATCTGGGTGCGAGCTCGGTCACGCTGTGCCCCCCATGGGCCACGACAGACGGAGGCCTCCCCCGAATGGGGGTCCAAGCGCATGGGGTCGGAGGACTGTGACGCATCGCCCATGCATCGCCGATGCATCGGCGACGTCGGCGATGCATTGGCACGGTCGGCGCGGAGAATGTCGGGCTCGGCATCGAGCCGCATCGCCGTTGCATCGGCGATGCGGTGCGACCCTGTGGGGCCCCATCCAAGTCTGTCCCAATCGGGGACCCCGGTTGCCCAAGACGTCCTCGGAGAACAATTCCCAAAACCGCGCGGTCCCAAGGCATCCCGACTGACTCACCACACAGTGGCCACCGCACCGTCTTGGGGCCCCCATCCCGTCCCCGGTGGTTTCCGCGACTCGGGCCTCCGGCGGCCGTTCGGGGCGATCAGGGCACTCAGGGAAGGCCCTCGGCGAGGCGCAGGCTGGCATCCAGAGGCTGGAAAACCACCGAGACGCGACGATGACGCCCGAAAACCTTGAGGCGATGCCCTTTTCGTTCCTCTCCAGGCGCGCGCGCGCTTGTGCAGCAAGTGCTGGAGGAGGAGGAAGAGGAGGAGGAGGAGGAGGAGGATCGAGGAGGGGGAGGAGGAGGAGGAGGAGGAGGAGGTGGAGGAGGAGGAGGAGGAGGAGGAGGAAGAGGGGGAGGACGAGGAGAAGGAGGAGGAGGAGGAGGACAAGGAGGAGGAGGCAATGCCCTTTTCGTTCCTCTCCAGGCGCGCGCGCGCTCAGATCTGGGCGCAGGAAGAGCTGGAAGAGCTGGGCGCTGAGCGCCGGCGCACGAGCTCAGATCTCCTCATCCACTGCCCCGGTCGCCTCGCCGTCGACGACCTGAGGTGGGGAGACCGGGGGGAGTCCAAGGGCTCCCCACTTCGCGCTTCGCGCTGCGCGGATCCGCGGAGTGCGAACAACTTCGCGCCCTCGCGCCGCCTCCCAGGGGAGGAGTGCAGAGTGAGGAGGGATCGGAGCCGAACCGCGAAGCGCGAATAGCTTCGCGCCCTCGAGGGCGCCCTTGGGGAAACGACCAAGACCTCCTCGCGCTGTGACAAAAATCACGACGGGAGGTGCTTCCCTATTTTTGGCCTCCGTGGGCGCTTCCCGGCCCGGGCCTCGGGACCGTCACAAACAACGCGGGACGAAAGAGTGGTCCTGGGGAAGGGGTCCAGACCTCTGGGTGTCGACGTTGTGAGAAAATCACGACCTCGGGGGTCTTGCATCACTTTTCCCTCTCACTGGCAGTCTTTGCCTTTGCGGCCCTACAGCCTTTTCCAAATTATCTCTGTTCCTGTTCTGCACTTCCTGCTGCCTGATTTCGTGCCTGATTTCGTTGCCACCAGCACTAAGTCGGTGCCCAATGTGACCCCTCCCTACAGAAAGCAACAGCCTAGACGCTTATGTATGACGTCGGGGACCTGGGCAAGGATGCGATGCGGTGCAACCTCCGTTGCGGACGGTGTGCGGGCCGAGCTCATGCGAGGTGGGCGAGGCCGTGGCCTCGGGAACTCTGGCCCGTCGGGGCACACTGGCAGGATGCGAGACACGTGCAAGTCAGGAGGAGACGGGCAGACGCCTCTGAGGGCAGACGGCCCCTTTCGCCAGGGATTCCCAGCCCCATGGGGCCGCGACAGAACTGCCGCGAGTCGTGGGCCTCCAGCCCGCCCACAGCTGAAGGAGCTTCCGAGCCCCAGGCCTCGAGCCGAAGAGTGGCTCCCAAGCCCCAGGGGACGCGCAGGTTCGGAGGCGAGACGAAGGGGCCCCAGGGCACACCAACAAATACACACACAACCAACAGGATCCCCCAGATGTTCCAATAGTTTCGGGGTGTCTGTCTTCCCCCCCCGCTTCCCAAATCTTCCCACATGTTCTGGGAGCCGACGATGACTTGTGTCTGTGTGTGTGTGTTTCTTCCCTCCCAAAAGGTGCGCTCTGGACCCGCGGATCGAAAAAAGTGCCTCTCTTCCCTCCCGAGGAGAGGCGGGCCGAGGGAAGGGCCGAGGCGGGGGGCGGTGCCCCGAGGGAGGGCAGGAGCCCCGAGGCTCCTGCGCAGGGGCCCCTGCGGAGGAGCGGGGGATCCTGTGCCGGGCGTGGACTCTCGGGGCAGGCCCAGAGACCTCCCGGGCAGGGCAGGAGCCCGGCCCCGAGGGTCCTGTAAAACAGGGCTAGGATCGGGATAAATCGCTCCAGAGCGTTCCGGAGCGCTCTCAGAGCGTTCCGGAACGCTCTGGAGCGGCCGCGGCGCCCAATACGTCCTCCAAACCCGCCGACTCTCAGAGATTTCGAGTTATCCCGATCCGATTTTGTCCCGACCTTCGTGTCGTTTTACGGGGGCCTCCCGGGCAGGGCAGGAGCCCGGCCCCGAGGCTCCTGCGCAGGGGCCCCTGCGGAGGAGCGGGTCCTGTCCCTGACCTTCCAGGAGAGCTAGAAAATAGGACGCGACGTAAAGACTTATCCCAGAGCTATTCTACGTCCTGGTTTTAGGCTGTCTCGTTTCGTTTTTTAGGTTTTTAGGCCCCCCGTGCTAAAAAATAGCTCTCTAGAGAAGGTCAGGGGTGCCGGGCGTGGGCGCTCGGGGCAGGCATGGAGGCCTCCCGGGCAGGGCCGGAGCGACGAGGGGCCCGGGGTATGCAGTCGGGGAGTTGACCTAAGGCACCCTAAAGAACGAACGAGGCCCCTCCTTTCCCGTAAGTTAAAACTTCGGTTCCCCATCGAAAGCCATGGGAACCCCTGAGGCATGCTGTGAAACAGTCAAGGAACACGGAGCCCCTCCCCAACGACCCCTGCTGTAGTGGGTCGGCCCTGCCCGCCCAAGGGTACCCTCTCGTGTCCCGTGCCTCGCGGCGACGCGTGCCTGCTTGCGCTCCTGCGGGGGCGTGGCCCTCGGAGTGCGCCCCCCCCGCCAGCCTGTGCAAAAACGTGCTGTGCGCACGCGCTCGTGCTTAGCCAACCGCACGCGTTCGAACATCCCCCATTGAAGTTCGACGAAATGCGCGCGCGCGCGAGTCGTGGCGCGCGCCTTCCGCAGCCCTCCAAAAACCTTCGACTCCCGCGAGGAGTGCAGCATCGAGTGTGACAAAACAACATCTCCTAAACATCTAAAAAAGGCCGGCGAGGGCCACGGTAGAGGAAAGAGAACTATGCACATACACCGATTCTGGCCAGGCCCATCCTGAGCCCAGGATCGGTGCATACGCCCTCCTACCTTGGCTAGGAAGGTATATGCACCGATCCTGGGTCAAGGATGGGCCTTGCCAGGATCGGTGCATGTGCATAGTTCCCTTCGCCCGACACGGGGCAGACCACGGCGGAGGCGCGCCGCGCCCGAGCCGCAGCAAAGCTCCCGGGAGCTCCGCGCGGGCGCCTCGGGCCGGCGGTGCGCCCCCGCCGCCCCCCCCCCCGGGAGCGGCGCCTCCTCGGCGCCGCCCCCCTGGCGAGCTCCGCGCGCCCAGGGGGAGGACGGGCGGGGGCCCCCCGCCGTCCATCCCCAGGAAATCCGCGCGGAGCTCCGTTGGTCTGCGTTCACAGGGCAGGTTTTGATACACAGTTGTTTGTGTATGTGTATATATATATATATATATGTATATGCATATATATGTGATTTTGAACGCATGAGCAATTTATGGATGAATTTGTGCATGAGCTCCTCCTTGCTTTTCATACTAAATCCCCGGGCCCCTGCATGCTTGGTACATGATCCGCACGCGGAGCATGTATTAAAAAAAACGGCCCTGTACGCAGTTGTTTGTTCTCCATCGCTGGGCAAGGGAGGGGGCCAAGAGCCACACGGTTGTCGGCCGTCCCCCCGCGCGCGCGCGCGGTGTTCCGTCAGCTGCAGCAGCGAGACTGAGCAACGGCAGTCCGAGCCACAGGCGCCGACCTCCGATCCGAGAGCTGAGCTATGCCTATCCTTCTCGGATTGGATGGGTTCGGGGCAGTGGGGAGGCAACTGCTCGGAGGTCTTCGTCGGAAGGACAAAAGAGGATGACGCCCCATTGGGGGACTGTTGCGCCCGAATGGGGCCTCGGATCCGGTGGCATCAAAGCCGGAGGAAGCCAGATGAAGCGGGACTAGGCTGGATCAGCCGGAATTAAACCGGATTCCGGACCAGAGCAGAATCAGAGTCTCACCTCCCAGGAATTGCACCCGACCTTGTTGGATGGGCTGGCAGCAAAAAGCAGAACCGCGGAGGGCACGCCAGCCGGGCGAGCATCTCCCAGTCGCGGCCAGGCGGGACCAGCCACGAGGCTGGCAGCGCTCCGAATCTTGTAGGCCGGCGCGGGGCTATCCCGTGCGCGCTCATCCTCTGCGCTTAGGTTGGGCATGCCCCCCTACAGGCGGACTTTGGACGAGCAATACAAAAACTCAAAAAAAAACAAAAAAAATCAAACAATCGCCCCCGGACTATTATTTTACGATTTTGGAGAATTCCTCCTGTAGAGGGACATGCCCGACTCAAATATTGTGGGCTGGCGCGGGCTACCCCGCCTCTGCGCCCGCGCACGGGCCAAGGGCGCCACTCCCTTCGCAAGCGATTCCGAAGGCCGGAGCACGGCACATCTTCGCGGCCCAGGCCGCGAAGCGCGCAAAGCGCGGTCACTGGCCACGCAAAACGGGGTCCGAAAACATGTATGTTGTTCCCATCGTACCTGAAGACCATATCCCAAAACTGATTTCGAGCACCCAGAAAAGTATCGAAACAGTGTCGAACGAGTATCGCCTCCCAGGTCCCGACACGTGAAAACCTTCAGTTTCGGTCCTTGCTTGGTGCTCGAAATCATTTCTGGTGATCAAGACTAAAGTATGTTGGAACATCATAAGAGTAGATGAGGTCGGCGGATCTCGCCGCATCGCCGGGGCATCACAACTGCACCGGCGACGCACAGGCGATGCATCGGCGACGCATCGACGATGCATCGGCGCCGTCGACGTGGAGAACAGGAGGAGGAGGAGGAGGAGGAGGAGGAGGAGGAGGAGGAGGAGGAGGAGGAGGAGGAGGAGGAGGAGGAGGAGGAGGAGGAGGAGGAGGAGGAGGAGGAGGAGGAGGAGGAGGAGGAGGAGGAGGAAATGAGTCTCGAGGCGGGCCCTCCACCCCTCTCCTCGACGAGTGTCTTCGAGTGCGGCAGGCACGACCGAGCCGATCGGCAAAAAAAAAAACAAGAAAACGATCCCTTGTGTTAGGTCGGGCATGTCCTCCTACAGGCGGATTTTGTGCGAAAAAATGAAAACAATCAAAAATTGCGACACCACAACAATATATGTATATATATAGTGTCGTCCCCTTACTATTGTTTGGCAATCTTTGCGCATTCCCCTTGTAGAAGGACGACACGTCCGACTAACCCTTGTGGTCACTGCGCCATGCCCTGCTGCAACGGCTCGGCGGGAACCTCGCGCCCGACGGGGCGATTTGCAGCCAGGGGAAAGGCGCCTGGCGGCACGCACCCGAAGGGGCTGGCGCGAGGGCGGGGGGCCTCCTGTCAGAGGGCGGGGGATGCCGCATGAGGGGGGCGAGCCAGGGCCGCGCCCCCGCGGGGGAGGGGGGCCAACATTGTCCTCGCGCCTCCGCGGGGGAACCAAAGAGAGATTCCTGTGCGGGGCCGGCGGGGGCCGAGGTGTGGGGCTGCGTCGGCAGCCCTTGCCGCCCCACCGTCTCTCGGCGTCAGGGGGGGGGGGCTCCCGAGGGTCAGGCGTTGCCAACGTGAGGGGGGGGGGCGACAAATGGGGGGAGAGACAGCGCGCACCTTTCGTGCCTCCTTTGGGCCCCACGGGGGGCTCCTTGTAAGGCCCCTTTCAGGCACCAAGGGTGCACCTTGCTGCACCCCCCGTCATTGATCGCCCACCGATTACGCAACGCCCGGGAGGCCAGCAGAGACGCTGTTCTGTGGTCATGGGGGCCATTCCCACGAGACCGGGAACTGAGAAAAATAGCACGGCTCGTCTCCCCCAGAACTCTTTGCCGATATGGTGGGTCCCGCTGGGGCCTCGCTCTGCTGCTCCAGCATCGATGCCGCTACTGGGGCCTCGCCCTGCTGCTCCAGCAACGAAGAAGATTGATTCGCGTCGTCCTTGGAATGTGACAACAAGAAACATAGCCCCCAACAGTGGGATGTCCGCGTAGATTTCTTGAATCTGCGCTGGAAGCCCCTCGCTGGTGCGCGAGGCACGCCAAAGTCGGCGCTGGAGGCGCCGCAAGGAGAGCCAAACGCCCATCCAAGAACTCCGCGCGGACCACCGAACATCTGAAGTCAAACTGTATAGTATGGAGCACGACAAACCTCCTGCCCCCGGAAATAATACCCCAAGAGATACAAGCAAATCCCCGCTCAATCCGATGTGCGGATGTATGGTGTACGGGTGCGCGGCAAATGCCATGATAGTAGATTAGAAATAGTAGTGGTCATTTTAATAGTAATTGCAATAGTCGTAGTAGTAGTAATAGTAGTAGTAGTAGTAGTAGTAGTAGTAGTAATAGTAGTAGTAGTAGTAGTGGTAGTAGTAGTAGTAGTACGTAGTACTAAGAGTACTAGTAGTAGTAGTACTACTACTAGTAGTAGTAAGAGTAGCAGTAGTAGTAGTCGTAGTAATCGTAGTAGTGGTAGTAGTAGTAGTAGTAGTAGTCCTAGTCGTAGTAGTAGTTGTCATAGTAGTCGCGGTAGTCGTGGTAGTAGTAGTAGTAGTAGTAGTAGTAGCACTAGAAGCAGCAACCGCAAGAGCAGTAGTAGTAGTAGTCGTAGTGTTAGTAGTAGTGGTAGTAGTAATAGTAGTAGGGGTAGTAGTAGTAGTAGTAGTAGTAGTAGTAGTAGTAGTAGTAGTAGTAATAGTCGTAGTCATAGCAGTAGTAGTAGTAGTAGTAGTAGTAGCAGGAGTAGTAGTAGTAGTAGTAATAGTAGTAGTAGTAATAGTAGTAGTAGTAGTAGTAGTAGTAGTGGTAGTAGCAAGAATACTACAACGAATTGTCGCCGTCGTATCAGCAACAATAAAAGTCGTAGTCGTGGTAGTCGTAGTAGTCGTAGAAGTAGTAGTAGCAGCAGGGACAAATCGTACGCGTGAGTAGTCGTTGTCGTGGTGCCAGTCGAAGTAGTAGTAGTAGTAGTAGTAGTAGTAGTAGTAGATGTAGTAGTAGTAGTAGTAGTAGTAGTAGTCGACGAAGTAGTAATAGTAGTAGAAGCAGTGGTAGCAGAAGTATTAGTAGTAGTCGTCGCCGTCGTAGTAGTAGTCGTAGAAGTAGTAGTAGTAGTAGTAGTAGTAGTAATACAAATGAGACTACTAGTATTAGTTGCTGATGAAACAATAACAAAAATATTACAAGGCGTAGCCGTCTTCATAGTAGTGGTCAGATATCCGTCGTAGCAGGTGTAAAAGCCGCGGTCGTAAGGACACTGTGGTGGTAGTACTGATAACAATAATAATGCACTATATGTTAGTAAGAAAAGTCGCACTCGCAATCGTAGTAAAAATAATACTACTACTACTACTACAACAAGTCGTAATGGCAATACGGGTCGTAGTCGTTAGGGTGGCAGTACGAGTAGTAACGGCAGAAGTGGTAGTACTAGTAAGAGTACTCGTAGGAGTAGTAGTAGTAGTAGTAGTAGTAGTAGCAGAAGTACTAGTCGTAGCAGTTGTAGTGGTAGTCGTCGTAGTAGTAGTAGTCGTAATAATCGTAATAGCAATGGCAGTAGTTGTAGTCGTAATGGTTGTCGTCGTCGAAAACGTTGTAATAGTGGTCGTAGCAGTAGTAGTAGTAGTAGTAGTAGTAGTAGTGGTAGTAGTAATAGTAGTAGTAGTAGTAGTAGTAGTCGTAATAGTAGTAGTCGTCGTGGGAGTAGTAGTAGTAGTAGTAGTAGTAGTACTACTACTAGTAGTACTAGTAGTAGTAGTAGTAGTAAAAACTAGTAGCAGTAGTAGTCGTCGTCGTTGTCGTCGTGGTAGTAGTAGTAGTGGTAGTGGTCGTCGTAGTAGTAGTAGTAGTAATACGAGTGGTAGTACAAGTAGTACTAGTAGTAGTAGTAGTAGTAGTAGTAGTAGTAGTAGTAGTAGTAGTAGTAGTGGTAGTAGCAGTAGTAGTAGTAGTAATAGTAGTAGTAGTAGTCAAAACCAGTAGTAGTTGTAGTAGTAGTCGTAGTCGTCGTCGTGTTAGCATTAGTAGTAGTAGTAGTAGTAGTAGTAGTAGTAGCAATAGTAGTAGTAGTAGTAGTAGTAGTAGCAGTAGTAGTAGTAGTAGTAGTGGTAGTAGAAGTAGAAGTAGTAGTAGTCGTCGTCGTCGTACTAGCGAAAGTAGTAGTAGTAGTCGTAGTAGTAGTAGTAGTAGTAGTAGTAGTGGTAGTAATAGTAGTAGTAGTAGTAGTGGTAGTAGTAATAATAGTAATAGTAGTAGTAAGGCCACACTCTGGTTATGGCGGAGAAATCACGATGTTTCTGGCCCGCAATGTTGCAGGGACTTGAAATACAAACTATTGGAAAACATATTGCACACCTGACCTATGGCCTGCGCCATTCATTCCGTAGGGTGTTCATGGGATTCCTCCGGTGATCCTCCGCGTTGGCCACTGTGGCCGTCCAGATTGGCGTCGGATCCGTATGACGCCCTTCGGGTTCCCATTGGATCCGATAGGCTCCCTATGCGATCGAATCGGATCTTCAGGGGATCCTACATGATCCCTCTAGAATCCCATAGGAGCCCGATGGAACCCCATGTAATCCCATGGGAATCCGATGAGATCCCCTTGGGAACCAATAGGACTCCGTAGTACCTCGATGGCATCCTATAGGATCCCAATGGGATCCGATAGCATCCATTCGGAACTGTATGCGGTCCTGAACGAAATCCCATACGACCTCCACGCAATCCTCAATCGGATCCTTGTGGACTCCTATGGGGCCCTTATGGAATATTGAGGGAGACCTTGCAATCCTAGATGACCCCAGTGGAACCCCATAGGATCCCGATGGAATCCGTTCGGATCCTGAAAAATCCATATCCAATGGGATGTGTATGGGATCTTATGGGATCCCAGTGGGATCCTTTTGGATCGCTATGGCATCCTACGGGATCCGCATGGAATCCGACCAGATCCCCATGGAATCCTGTAAGATCCGTATGGAATCCTAGGAAGAATCACTATGGAATCCCATCGGATCCGAATCTGGTGTTGTAGGATCGTGACGGAAACTTACCGGATCCCGATGGAATCCTCGAATATCCCTTAGTAATCCGATAGGGTCCATATGGGATCCCCCTTAGGTCCCAATGGGATCGTATACGGTCGTTATGGAACTGCTATGGTATCCCGATGGAATTCTAAAAAAGATCTGTAAGGGATCCGATCGGATCCTTTTGGGACCTGATAGGGTCCCTATTAAATCCTACAAGATCCCGATGGAACTCTTCTAGGATCCGTGTGGAATCCTGGAGGATCCCGGAAAATCGATATGAAATCATACAGGATGGATATGGACTCCTATAGGATCCTGGTGGTCTTCTATAGGATCCTTATGGAATCCTGTACGATCCGTATGGAATCCGATAGGGTTCCTTTGGGCTCCCATAAAGTCGCGATAAGATCATATACGATCTCTATGCGTATGCTATGGACTCCGAATGGAAGTCTATAAGATCCTCATGGAATCCTACAGGACCCCTATGAAATCCGAATCCTATGGGATCCCTATGACACATATGGGATCCCAGAGGAATCCTAGAGGATCCCTCTGGCATCGTGTGAGATGCCTATGGCATCCTTTAGGACACCTATGGAATATTGTAGGATCCTTGTGGAAGGCAATTGTAACCCGAACCCTCTTTGAACCCACTGGAACGTGATAAGACCCCAAAAGGATTCCGAATGCAATAACATCCCGATACGATTCCAATTAAACTCAGTATGAAAAGAAACTCCGGTTATAGTAGAATCCCGACAAGATTCGAACAATATTCCAGTTACACTAAGATTCATGTTGGATTCCAAATTGATTCCGATTGTAATTGGATTCCAAATGGGTTCCAATTGGATTGCGAATACAATCGGACCCCAATAGGATTCCGATTGCAATAAAAACCAAAAAAATACCAATCGGTTTCCCCTAACAACAAAATTGTCCAATCGGTTTCCAAAAAGAACGACTACAAGAAGACACCGGTTGCAATCATACTCCGATTGCAAAAAAAATCCGGCTACAATTGGATGCCGCTCACATTAGAAGCTTGATTACAAGAGGACTTCCGTTTCACTACGACCCCAATTACAAAGCATTCCCATCCAACCCAAATTCAAACCCAAACCTCACCAACCATAGGTCAGGTGTGACCCTAGTAAGAAGTCGCAGTAGCAGTAGCAGTAGCAGTAGTAGTAGTAGTAGCAGTAGTCGTAGTAATAGTAATAGTAGTAGTAGTAGTAATAGAATGATAGTTTCGGAAGAATACCACCATCACTACTACTACTACTACTACTACTACTACTACAAATAATAATAATAATCGTAGTCGTAATCGTAACCGTAATCAAAATGATACTACAACGCTGTAGTAATACAAGTCGCAGTCGTAATAGTAATAGCCATACTTATTAACATACTTGTAAGAACGTTGGTCGGAACAGAAATAGTAGTCGTAGTAATCGTAACGTGAGTAGTATCAGTCGAAGCCCAAAACAAATACTACTATAATTGCGGAATTGATGCATGGAGGAGAGAGGGGAGGAAGGACGTCGAAACAGCAAAAGTGACGGTCCAGTCAACTTCCCTCTGAAGAGCAATAAGTTCAGGAGTGGTTTCTGATCTTCGCGTGCTGGAGGTCAGATTGGGGAAAAAACGGCGGGATGAGACAAGTTCGCCCGTGAGGCGTGCCAATACACGATGGAGCAATAATCGTTGCAGTCTCAGTAGTAGTGGTAGTGGTGGTGATAAAAGTAGTAGTAGTAGTAGTAGTAGTAGTAGTAGTAGGTAGTAGTAGTAGCAGTAGCAGTAGTAGTAGAAATATAGTAGTAGTAGTAGTAATAGTAGTAGTAGTAGTAGCAGCAGTAGTAGCCGTCGTAGTAGTAGTAGTAGGAGTAGTCGTAGTAGTAGTAGTAGTAGCACAAATAGTAGTAGTAGTAGTAGTAGTAGTAGTCGTAGTAGTAGTACAGTATTACTAAAAGTAGCGATAGTAATAACATTGGTAAAACGAACACTGTTTTCTCGCCGCGACTGGTAGTCGTAACAAGATTGGTAAGACGCCTTGGCAGTCGTAGTCGTAGCAGTCGTGGTGGTAGCCGCAGTAGTAATAGTAATTGTAGTGGTTGGACTGGGGGTACTTCGTCGTGGACTACTCTGAAGTCGCATTGTGTTTGGCAGCACTGTGGAACAATGTTGCATGCGGTAGGCGTATGCATGGGCAGTACTCGCTATAGCCATAAGAGTCGCAGTCGTAGTAATACTAGCAATCAACTAAGGTCCAAACATGTGTCAGTATAACCAGTAGCACTAGTAGTAGTGGTAGTAAACCGTAGTCGTGGGAATATTCGTGGTTGTAAGTGTTGTAAGTAGTTGTTGCAGTAGTGGAACGCGTGGGTAGTAATAGGAGTGGCAGTAGTAGTAGTACTTGCTGTAATAGTAGTAGTGGTAGTAGTCGTAGTAGTAGCAGTACTAGGAGTAGTAGTAGTAGCAGACAAAGTACCAATATAACTGATAGTAGTAGCAGTTGTCTTCGTAATGCTATCAGTAGTTGTAGCCGTAGTGGAAATAGCAGTAGTAGCATCAGTAGTGGTAGTGGTAAGTTCGTGACCGTGGACGTAATAATATTAGCACGTGCAGCTCAGATTGCAGTAGTAGTAGTAGTAGTAGCAGTAGTAGCGGTAGTAGTAGTAGTAGTAGTAGTAGTAGTACTAATATAATAGTAGTAGTAGTAGTAGTAGTAGTAGTCGTAGTAGTAGTAGTAGTAGCAGCAGCAGCAGCAGCAGCATCAGTAGTAGTAGTAGTAGTAGTAGTAGTAGTCGTAGTAGTCGTAGAAGTAGTAGTAGTAGTAGTAGTAGTAGTAGTAGTAGTAGTAGTAGTAGTAGTGGTGGTCGTAATAATAATCCTAACTAGTAATCGTACTAGTAATAATAGTAGTAGGAGTAGTAGTAGCAGTAGTAGTAGTAGCGCCAATAATAATGGAGATGGGTCGTAGCCGTGGTAGTAAACATAAAGCTGGTAGTAGTAAAAATAGTAATACTAAGTCGTAGTAACAACAACAACAGCAGCAGCAGTACTAATGGTAACTGCAGTTGTCGTTGTAGTAGTAAGACTAATACTACGAATACTGGTCTTAATCGCAGTAGTAATCTTAACAGTCGTCGTGGTAGGATGGATGTAGGATAGCATCTTCGATTCGTCGGTTCCCCGGCGGTCATGAACTTCGGCTTCGCAGACCCTCCCCCGACCAACTCTGTTTTGGCTCAGGAATATCAGCGCTCAGGCCTTAAAGCGGGGGGGATGCTTCATTTCGGGCGCAAGGGGTTCAGGATGCAAGGGCCTTGGAAGGCCATGTCGACACTTTGCGAGCGGGGCGCGGCCAGCGAAAGCGGCCAAGTATGGGCCGAAGGGGAAGGATGCAAGGATAATATTTGAAAGTTGCTCATCCTTACTATGCGGGTTGACTGTATATTTGTGAAGTGTTTTTCTTCGTCGAGTCCTTCTTCGAGGCCAGCTGCCGGAGGAGGACCATGCTCTCGTGGGGGATCGGCTCCTGCTCGTGGGTACACTTGGAGTACGTGACTGTGCGCATGTCGCGCTTGGGCCCCTCCTCTTGGATAAGGCAAAACGAAGACGAGGACAACATTGGGTGAGGGTAAATCGAGATTTCTGAGATCTGGCGGCTCTGGAGGATGTCCCAGGCGCCGCGGAATCCTCAAAGCGTTCCTGAACGCTCTGAGAGCGTTCCCGAGCACTCTGGTGCGGGTGTATCATCATTCTGGCCCCGTCCGATTGGAGGCCGCCCCAAGAGCGCCAGAGTAGATGCCGCATGTAGGATGCAGGTTTGTGATGCGGAGCATCCCGGATCGAGGTTTGGACGAGTGCGGCCTTCTCTTAACGAGCTGCGAACATACCCATATCGACGCCCTCGCGGTCTACATTCTGGGTCGCGATCCCGCTGATACACAGACACACGAATACGTTCCGCGCTGGGCATCCGCGAACAAACACCCCACATCCACTGGGTCGCAGCCCAAAGGGGCCGGACCCAGGAGGCCACGGATCGTTTCCCCGCAGCACCTCTGGGCTTCCAGAGGCCTCCAGAAGCGACCTCGAAGACGCGCAAGGGCCTCCGTTGAATGCACGAGGGGTCGACGGATCTCAGCGCATCGTTGGGAGGCAACTCCTGGGAGGCCTGTCGTGGGAACGAGCCCGATGCCGAGTCGCACCGAATCAGCCGTGCTGTTAGTGCACATTGGCTGCAGTGCATACGGCGTGTGAAACAAGCATGAAACCTCATAGCGGCTTGCCTTCTGAACCAGCACGGGGGAGGCGCCCAGATGAAGCCCAGGATGAAGCCAGGATAGGCCCGACAAAACCTGGACTGAGCGAGATTAGACGGGACCATGCTGGATTAGGCCAGTTCTCGACCACGGATTTATCACCGCCGAGGCTGAATTGAACCTCCCAGGGATACACTTACACCAAAAAGTCGGGGACGCACCAGGCCAGACCTCGACGTCATGATCTTCTCAACGCTTGGACCCCCAAAGGTCTGGACCCCTGAGTAGTGTTGACGATCCCGACGCCTGGTAAGAAGCTCCAGAAGACGAAAATAGCGAAAAACTTTCGGGCCCGATTTGTTCCTGACCCGAGGTTATCTGGGTTAGCTTTAGGTCGGGCATGTCCCCCTTCACCCCCCATGGAAGGGGATATGGGTCGTGGCCTTCGGGTTTCGAGGGGTGTAGCCCCACAGGGCCTCCACAGGGGATGGGGGTGGGGGCCTCCACAGGGGATGGGGGTGGGGAGGTGGACCATTGAAACGATACCGATTCGTGACATGTCCTGGGGGCCGCCCCTGGGAGCGCCGCCTCGCACCCCCTGCTCGCACCTGAGATGCTCGCCCAAGCGACCTCGCTCGGGCAACCGCGAAGCTGCGCCTGCAGGGCTCCCAACTTCGCGCTACGCGCTGCGCGAAGTGCGAATAACCTCGCGCTCTCGCGGCGCCTCCCAGGGGAGAAGAGGAAGGAGGACGAGGAGGAATCGGAGCCGAAGCGCGAAGCGCGAGGCGCGAACAACTTCGCGCCCAATAGGGCGCCCTTGCGCCTGAACCGGATGGACCCTCGCGGTGCCAAGCGCAGCACAGCCAACCGTCAGCTGCGCTGCGCTTCTGCGGACCGCGTCGAAAAGGCCGAGGCGTCGGCGGCCCTTACGCAATGGCCCAGATCCCTGGCACGATCCGGGCGACCCTGGCCCACTCCCGTCGAGGAGGTCCCCTGGACGTCTCTGGAGGCCTCCAGCAGACGCACAACGGCTGGCCAGCCCCAGCAATGGCAGCAACATGCGGGGATGGACAGAACACCCTGTAGTAAAACGTGGTTCAATGAGAAAACGACCTCGGGCCCAGACCTGGCGGGCGCAAGCCTGGAAAACGACGGCCGCGGCGCCCTCTCGAAAACCGAGAACGGACAATTCACTAATCGGCGTGCCAGGGTGGGGGTTCTGTCCACCCCCGAAACATCGGAAAGGTAACAAACACTGCATTAACATCAACCGTCGGAAGTCCGCGCGGACTTCTTGGATCGGCGCCGAGGCCCCCTGGCGGTGCCTCCGGCGCCACGCCTGGCGCGATCCGCGCGCGGGGTCCAGCGCCGATCCAAGAGAATCCGCGCGGACCTCCAGAAGCATGTGTACATGCAGCTGATTGTCGGAAATACAGTCAATCAGCAAAGTAAGGAGGCGCGATAAGGATGCAAGGGCCTTGGGCGCCCTTTTTGAAGCTTTTCGAGAGGGGCGCGGCCAGCGAAAGCGGCGAAGGATGGACCGAGGAGGCAAGGATGCAAGGGTACCCTTGGGGAGGTTGCCCATCCTTCCTATGCGGGTTGACTGTAGTTGCTGGCCCACTTCCAGGGGCCGTTCGGCTGCGAGGCGGCGGTGGTCCAGATTGCAGTCCCATCTCCCAGGTTGAGTTAGATTCTCGATTGTACTGTCGAGGTCCACTGTTGTGAGGACTGGACACCGCGCGAGGGGGAAGGTCCTTGAAGGTCCGAAAACCATTCGCTTCCTCTCCCCACATCATGTGCTCAGAATTTTGTTTGGGGGCCCTGGAACACTTATAAAACAGCACGCTCGCGCTCGCCGGTCCACAATCCCCGGTACATGTCTTTCGACTCGCGCCCCCGTGGCCATAGCCCCTTCTGAATTCCTGCGCGCTGGCGCTCCCAGAGCCGCCATCCCCCTCAAAGTACGTCATACTCGCGGTCTCCAAGTACTCTCTCCTGGCGCATAGGTCGGGCCTGATCCCCTACAGGGGGATTTTGGACGAAAAATATACATATATCTATATATATATACACATAAAAAAAACATACCCTACAAATGCTCAAAAGATGCCCAACAATATTCAAAACACAGTCCCCCGACTACATTTTAAGCTATTTTTGAATATCCCCCCTGCAGAGGGACAGCCCCGACTCAAAAGTTACGCCAGGACCGCCTTCCCGAGGCCAGTGAGGCAGGCCCGCGTCGTCGAGGCCCGCCCCCACTGCAGACTGCTGCGCCGCTGGCGCCACCGAGACCACGCACCTACCCCACGGAGGACGCCCCCAAAAGCGCAACCGGCCTCCGGGGCAGATCAGCTGACGTGTTCTGTGATGGGACATGTACAGCTGGGGCGTTGACCTGAGGAACCCTGAATAAGGAACGAGGCCCCTTTTCTCCATAAGTTAAAATTCGATTTCCGATCGAAAACAGAAGGAAAACCTGAGGCAAGCTGCGAAACACTCAAGGAACGCGGAGCCCCTCGCCAACGAAAAGGGTTTCTTCTTCAGGGCCCCGACTGTAAGGAACCGAACTTTATACACCGATGCTTGTTTCCGGTCCCGCACTGAGACTCGCACCAGAAAACGGGCTACGGTGTATGCGGCATCCTGGTGTATACATGTTTGGTTGCCTCCACGGGAACAATTGGGAAACAGGCATACACCACACCACCCCGACGTCGTCCCCGACCCTCAAAAATCCTGGGATTGAGCAACAGCCCGCCACTGGTAATGTATACGTTCCAATCTCCGAACATGTGTTCTGAGGGTGCGGGGTCGGCTCCCCCGTCGGTTCCTGGGACCTCAACTCAGGGCTCGACGCCAAACATCCTCGCGAGCAACCCGTGAGGGTCAGACAGAAGCGACACAGTAATGGGAAACCACAGATGTTGCTGCGCGGGCAAAAAATATCCGTCCCCCCGCGGCGGCCACGCTTGACGATCGGGGGGGGATGAGGATCCCTGATGGTGGTGATGATGAGGCGAGGGAGGAGGAGGAGGAGGAGGAGGAGGAGGAGGAGGAGGAGGAGGAGGGGAGGGATAAGCTAGACTGCCAAGCGACGACATCGAGGGGATTCCCGTTAGCACTCACGGCCCTTCGGTGTCGGCCGAGGGCGCGTGCTCTTGAGGCTCACGAATGCCTCCGGGAGGCCCGCGGAAGCGCTCCCGTGGACACGATCCTACAGCTGCACGGAGGCAGCCAGACAGCAAATACAATCAACCAGCAGAGTAAGGAGGCGCGACAAGGACGCGAGGGCCTTGGAAGGCCACGTCGAAGCTTACCGAGCGGGGCGCGGCCAGCGAAAGCAGCGGAGGACGGACCGAGGAGGCAAGGATGCAAGGGTACCCTGGGAAGGTTGCCCATCCTTACTATGCGGGTTGACTGTAGCCCAAATTCATTGTCAAAACTCATGTAGGCAACAAGGCATTCAACCGAGTTGCAAGCCAACCATCCCACAGGACAACCAATCTACCTACCAACCAGACGTGGGTCGCGCAGAGATACATGGATAGACATATATATATATATATATATGTATATATATACAGTATGCAGTCGTGTATGTACCTTGTATACGTGTCGATACGTGTGCTTAGATACATGGGGCACTTGGCGCTCCATCAGCTCCTGCCCCATTTCGTCAGCCTGGATCCTTGTTGTCCTCGTTCTCGAAGTGGAAGCAGTACGAGTCGTCGTCCGTCCCCACGTAGTGCGTGAAGCCGACGCAGGCCCTGTTCCTCTTGCACGCAACGGCACATTGCTCGATGGGCTCGTCCGCGAGCGCCTCGATCATCTTGCCGTCCCTCCAGGTCCCCGCGTGGGAGAACTTGAACCCGCCGAGGCCCTTCTGGCACTCGAAGCCCTTCATGCACCTGACGAAGGAGTTGCCTGGAGAACAACACAAGGTATAAACATACAAAGCTGGGAGGTCCGCGCGGATTCCTTGGCTCTGCGCTGGAGGCCCCCTTTTCGTCGCCTCCGGCGCTGCCCCCGGCGCGCTCCCCGCGCCAGGTGGAGGGGAGGCCCCCCGCCCGTCCGAGGAATCTGCGCGGACCTCCGAGAGCGTATGCGTATGCCGTTGGTTTTGTTCCTCGACTGCCCCTGTGCAGCTTCTTGTGGAGGCCCCTGTACAAATGGCACTGCAGCGGCTTGCCGCCAGTGGGCTTGCGGGAACTGAAGCCGACGCAGTCTTCGTTCTTGTCGCAGGCGTTCGCGCAGCTGGCCGTGCTCGAGACCTTGGCCAGCCAAGTGCTCTCCCACATCAAGCTCTCGATCAAGAAATATCCAGAAATGTTCTTGCCACAACCAGAGAACTCCGAGTTATTGGATGCCAACACCGTGCGCGGCAAGTCGGTCTCCATCGGCCACTTCGACTTGCCCCCGTCGACTTTCTCGGAAATCGAGAGGGCGCCGGCGAAGGAGATGGTCACTGCCGCGCGAACAAAGGCTGCGATCGCCATCTTCCGACCTCAGATTGCGAGATGCCCACGTCGCAACCGAATTGAATGTATGTCGCGGAGTGTGGGAATCAAGATATCCTGAGCCGAACTGGCTGCCCATACAGTCCCGCATGTTTTCCAGGCCAGTGGCACGGCACAGGGACTCATTGGTGGAGAGCGCGCGCGGTGTTTTCCGCGTGTTCCCCTTGGGGGCGCAAGGCTGTGAAGCGTACTGATGGACCGATGTCTTCTTTTGATTGTGCTGCCTGTTACTTGCGCTGTTTATCGATATAACAATGCTTCGTCTTGACTGTCAACTAAGGAGGGCTCGACATATTACAATTTTTATCCTGGCGAAAGGCCCAGCCATATGCAGTTGTGAATATCGCCGTTGTGAGAACAGCCTGCGGTGGAGCTCTCTATGGGCACGAAACGCACGAACGGTGCGACGCAATGGGGCGGGGCCACCGCTATGCGGGCGCTGCCGCTGGGGCCTTCGGTAGAGCTCCACACGGGGCCACGAAACGCATGCGGGGTGTGTCAAAATGGACAGGGGGCGGCGTGCAAGTCATGCCGGTGGGGCTCCCCGTGGGGCCACGAACCGTGTAACGGGTGTGCATCAACAGAGGGGGGCGGCCTGCGAACAATGCCACTGGGGCCTTCGCTGGAGCTCCCTATGGGGCCACGAAACGCGAGAAGTGCCGAAATGGAGGGGGGGCGGCATACGGGCCATGCCACTGGGGCCGTAGGTGGCGCTCCCAATGGGGCCACGCAACGCGTGAGCGAGGTGCCGAAGTGGAGGGGGGGCAGCATGAGAACCATGCCAGTAGTGCCTTCGCTGGAGCTCCCTACAGGGGCCACGGAACGTGTGAGGGGTGTGCCAAAGTGGATAGGGGGCGCGGCATGCGAACCATGGGCCTTCGCTGGAGCTCCCCATGGGGCCACGAAACGTGCGAGGGGTGTGCCAAAGTGAGGGGGGTGAAGGGAGGAGGAAGAGGAGGATGGGAGGAGGACGAGGAGGGGGAGGAGGAAGAGGAGGAGGAGGACGAGGAGGAGAAGGAGGAGGAGAGGGACCTCAATATGCCTCCAACCCACACAAGCGAAAGCCAGGACCCAGGAGGCCCCCAAGAGGTCCAGAGATGATCCAAAAAGGGTCCTCAAGTCCGCCCCCAGTGAGACCCCCCAGACGGCGCCGCAGCTCATGGGAGCCTCCCAAGCCATCTTGTCGGCTCTTGCGAATAGACGCTAGTCGACGCTAAATCGACGCTCATCGACCAGAACTCGACCACCCGACGCGAATCGACGCTAGTGCACTCCGAAGGCGGAATTGCGAACGCACGCGAAGCTCTCAGGATTCGCTTCCGAAGGCCAGCACCAGGACGGCCGACGACAGACAGCAACGGCCCTCAGGGAGAGATGCAGAGACTTGCCATCGCTCGGACGTCCTTTCCCCGTGCATGATTCCTTTCCGCGCGTGTTTTTTTTGCTCGATGATCCAAGTTTCCTCGATGGTCCTCGGCGGAGAAAAGTGACCACGCCCGAGGGCTGCCAAGCCGAAGTACCAGGACGGCCAAAGGCAGCACGACGACGGCCCTCGTGGAGGATCCAGAGGAGGGCCCCGACGAGGTCCCGAAGGCGGCCCCGCAGGAGCCCAACAAATCACAGAGCCTGGTTTAGGTCGGGCATGTCACCCTACGAGCGGGTTTTGGGCAACAAACAAAAAGACCAGAACAATATCAACAACTATTCAAAACATCGTCCCTGACTTTTTCTTGACTAGTTTTGAATACTCCTCCTGTGGAGGGACACGCCCGATTTAAATCCTGGCCCAGGACGGGCCCCCGCAACAAGAAAGCCTCTCGGGAAACAGGGGCCAGGGGCGCTAACTAAGGAAGCACAGCAGCTCGCCATCGCTCGGACGCCTGTTCCCCACGCGCTCCCGTCGGTCTAGTGCGTTCTCTGCTTTGCCTTCGCAAGATGATCCAAGATCATCCTCGAGGTTTCTGGCCGGGAAAAACGAACACACGCCAAAACGATACCAAGAACAACACGCACACCTGTTCGCCGTCGTTCCGAGTGCTCTCTTGTGCTGTCCACGGATCGTTTGCTCTGCTGGCCTCTGTCGGGATGCACACAACAATCAAACAAACACTAGGACCACAAAGGTAGCCTCCCCGAACCGGTCTCGATCTGATACCTCGGTCCGACCGTAGGGGCATACAATGGGACACACAAGTCTTAAATCGGGCGTGTCCTCCTACAGGCGGGTTTGGGAGGTAAGATAAAACATATCCAGAAAATGCGTAACACCCCGCAGAAGCGGATAATAATGAGGGGACGGCGGGGACGTCGGCAATTTGCGAGACTCTGGAGAAGCCAGCCGCACGCGCCAACGCTCCACAAATTATAAAACGAGCCCGCCGCAGGCGCCGACTTTTTTTTTTTTTTTTTGTTTTTACCAATGTGGGTAGGTCGCGGTTTGGTCCCGGATGGATCGCAAACGGGCCCACGGCCGTTTAACAAACGTCAATTGTCGGGTCCGGGTGGTTTTTCTTTCCTTGATGGCGGGTCGCGTGGGTCGCGGGTGGGTCGCGGGGTGGGTCGCGGGCGGGTGGCCGGGTGAGTCGCGGGTGGGCCGCGGGTGGGTCGCGGGGGGGTCGCGGGAGGGGTCGCGGGTGGGTCGCGGGTGAGTCGAGGGGTGGGTCCCGGGTGGGTCGCGGGGTGGGTCGCGGGGTGGGTCGCGGATGGGTCGCGGGTGGGTCGCGGGGTGGGTTGCGGGTGGGTCGCGGGGTGGGTTGCGGGGTGGGTCCCGGTTGGGTCGCCGGGTGGGTCGCGGGTGGGCCGCGGGTGGGTCGCGGGTGGGTCGCGGGAGGGGTCGCGGGGTGGTCGCGGGGTGGGTCGCGGGGTGGGTCGCGAGTGGGGCGACGACCAACAACAACAACAACAGCAACAATCACTTTACCCGAACGCTCAGTGTTCTCACCAGTGCCAGGGTTTTCATGCGACGCCAGCCAATACCCCCACTTTGTGGGGGGGCAGTGCAAGCTCTACCAAATATCCACACGACTCTTCGCCACCACCCACACCCAGCTTCCCGCCCTATGACGTTCGGACACTTCACTTCGTGGCCTGCGGACGACCGTGGCTACTACACTGGCGTGGAGTACACACCCACAGAAGTTGTTAAGCCTACGTTCGTACACCCACAGAAGTTGTTAAGCCTTGTTAACCCACAGAAGTTGTGAAGCCTTCCACAGAACATCTGTTGCATATGATGCATATGGTACATGATACACATGATACACATGATACGTACTCACAAGATAGTTGATCACATCTTTAGGGCAAATTCCTGAGGGATGCGGGAATACACAAGAGAGGGAGGATATGGTTGTCCCGATGGTTGTCTCGATGGTTGTCCCGATGGTTGTCCTGATGGTGGTGGTTGTCCTGATGGTTTTTGGAGATTTCGGCGTGCGCGCGCGAAGAAAAAAACTAATGTGTCCCGCATGGTATTATTTGACAGGGATGATGGCCCTGGCAGGTGCGCAACCGTTGTCGCAGAAGTTCGAAAAAGTTGCTCGCAAAAGCCCGTTTGACAGAAATGTTTAAAAAGTGTTGGGTTTCCTACGAATCCGCAAGAGCGCGCGGGATGAGATTTTGACATTTTTTTGTTGAAAAACCATTGGTTTTTTGATGTTTTTATGTTAAAATCGCTCCGAACACTAAGCTTTTGGAAGGATTTCGTCTTGCGCGCGCGAATGTCCACTTTACCTTATTTTTTGCAAGGGATTCTTGAAATTTGATTATATTAGAACAAGAAATGTCATTTTCTATTGTTTTTTGCAAGGGAAAGCGGATTACAACAAAACAACCGGATCCTGTACACACCCTCTTTTCTGAGGCTTCCTCACGAAAATGATGAAAATGTAGCTGCGGCCTAGGCGGCGCAGGGGGGGCGCGCACCAGGGGGCCCAACAATAATTATTCTTTAGAATAAATAATGTTCAACAACAACAACAACAACAACAACAACAACAACAACAACAACAACAACAACAACAACAACAATTACTAGCACGTGGGGACACTCCGTTCTCACCAGTGCCAGGGTTTTCATAGGAGGCGGGCAATACCCCCACTTTGTGGGGGGGCCGGTTCAAGCTCTACCAAATTTCCAAACGACTCTTCGCCACCACCCACACCCAGCTTCCCGCCCTATGACGTTCGGACACTTCACTTCGTGGCATGCGGACGACCGTGGCTACTATTCAGGGCCCCGCGGCCGACGACGACGGCGTGCGCGCGCGAAGAAAAAACGAATGTGTCCCATATGGTATTATTTGACAGGGATGATGGCCCTGGCATGCGCGCAACCGTTGTTGCAGAAGTTCGAAGCACGTGAAAAAGTTGCTCGCAAGAGCCCGTGTGACAGAAATGTTGAAAAAGTACTGGGTTTCCTAAGAAATCCGCAAGAGCGCGCGGGATGAATGTTTGAAACTTTTGTTTGAAAAACCATTTGGTTTTTTTTTTTTCATGTTTTTATGTTAAAATCGCTACGAAAACTAAGGTTTTGGAAGGATTTCATCTTGCGCGCGCGAGTGTGCACTTCGTGCCATTTTTTGCAAAAGGATTCTTGAAGTTTGGTTATGTTAGAACAAGACATGTCATTTTATATTGTTTTTTGACAGGGAAAGCGGGCGTCAACAAAACAACCGGATCCGGACTCCCCCTGTTTTGCCTGAGACTTCCTCACGAAAATGATGAAAATGTGGCTGCGGCCTAGGCGCGGCGAGGGGGGCGTGCACCAGGGGGCCCAACAATAATTATTTTTTAGAAGTAATAATATTCAACAACAACAACAACAACAACAACAATCACTTTACCCGAACGCTCAGTGTTCTCACCAGTGCCAGGGTTTTCATGCGACGCCAGCCAATACCCCCACTTTGTGGGGGGGCAGTGCAAGCTCTACCAAATATCCACACGACTCTTCGCCACCACCCACACCCAGCTTCCCG